GGAGTGTGCTGGGGCTGTTTCTTCCCTGCTGTCTTGTGCCTGGCACTTTAGTTTCTTGTTTAAGCTCCGGTTCCTGTCAGGTCTCGCAGAGCCTGAGACCAGCCCCAGGGGCCTTCCCAGGGCTGCTGCTCATGCCAGGCTTCTGGCTCACCTAGGGCAGGGGCAGTGTGGTCATCCAGGCCCACCTCTCTCTCCTGCTCAGGGGTCTTTGCAGTCTGGACTGTCAGCGTTGTTTTCAGTGGTTCCTGGAGAAGTCAGTAGGTGTCATGGCCCAGTGCCCAGTAACCGACAGTCTGGGGCTGAGTGAACCTCACTCATGTCCTGGGAGTGGGGTTGTCTCCTCAGCCCTTCCAACACAAGTGAGGGGTGGAGCCCGTGGCCAGGAGGTCCCATGCTTTGGGCTGCTCTTTCTAAATTGTACACAGTCAGATGAAGGGAGACACAAGGCTCAGCACAGCCCCCAGCCTTGGGACGGACTCAGAGGTCACTGCCCAATTCGGCTGAAAGCCCAGGGCCCTCTGTGAACCCCAGGTCTTCAAGTCCACAGGGCATGTCCCCTCCACCACTCCCAGCTCTTAGGGAGTCATTTCTTTTCTTCCCACAGATGCACAGAAATTCAAAACAAAGTTCGAAGAATGCAGGAAAGAGATTGAAGAGAGAGAAAAGAAAGGTGGTGTGGTGGCCTGGGAGGGTCCTGGGTGGGGGGCTTCCTCGCAGACTCACTCTGCATCCGGCTGCACTTCAGATGGGTGCTTTTTCTGTCTGCCAAAGAAATATTCCGGGTGCTGTGGCTGCCTGACTTGTCAGGGGCGATGCAGCTGCCTGGGGACACAGGGTGCCCAGTGTGTCTGGTCTCGGGTCCAGCTGGGCAGGCGGTTGGCCCACAGTGCTCTGACTAAACTGACCAGAGGCTAAAGGTGCTTTGAGATAGTCCTTGTGTTTCTTTCTCTCAGAGGCTTCAGTCACCTGCCCTCTTGGGTTGGGGGATGGCTGTGGTAGCAAGTGGCCAGATACTACTGAGCAGCCTGCCCAAAGTCTAGGCAACTTGTGGACGTGTGTTTACATGGCCTCCTTTGGTCACACCTCTGGTGGGGGTCAGTCCTGAGGGCCCTGGGGGCCGAGGCAGGACTGCAGTGTGGACTAATGCTCCCTTCCTTCTGTTTTCTTACTTTGCTTGCTTGTGTTCTAGCAGGATCGGGCAAAAACGATAATGCCGAAAATGTGGCTGAAAAGCTAGAAGCTCTTTCGGTGAAGGAGGAGACCAAGGAGGAAGCTGAGGAGAAGCAATAAATTGTCTTATTTTATTTCCTTTTCCTTTCTTTTTTCTTCTTTTTTAAAATTTTGCCCCTCCTTTTCGGTTTTATTCTGTTTTGTTTTTACAAGGGACTTTATATAAAGAACTGAATATCAACATTCAGGTTGGTTTTTTTTTTTAAGTTTTTGTCCTATTGAAGACGACTTCAGAAAATCCATTCCCCAGTCATGAAAATGTACTGTGCTAACTTTCTTTTCCATAGTGGAAACACTTATTTATAGTCATCAAAAATAGTGAATAAAAACCACATTTGGAACCTGGACGGGTGGCAGGACTGTGTGTGCGGCTCCATTCTGTGGGTGGTGCGGTTCCCACTGGCCGCCAGGGTGCTCACCTGAGCCCCCAGGTGTGCGCGGCTATGGCAGGCACCACAGTTCACAGCCAGGGTTCTCTGGAGACTCGCTCTGGTGTTGCTGGGCTGTGTGCGTCTTGTTGTGGGCCGGTGCTGGAGAGGCAGCCTGGTGTGGGCTGGCAGTGTGCGCTGCTGCCGAGGGTCTAGGTGGGGCTGGTGCTGGGCCTGAGGTGTGCTCTGCTCTGCCCCGTGGTGAGTAGGTAGCTGGTGGGTGGGTGTGTGAACGTGTGTTTGGGGGAGAAAAAGGACGACCACCAAAATACCTCACTTTGGCACAGGGAGGTGGTAACCAACTGAGCAGGTTTCCAGGCATTGCCAAGACCAGCTTTGGCCGAGTTCTGGTGGGGGGAAAGGCTGGTCTTACAGCATAGGTCCTGCCTGGTGTGCCAGGTGTGGCTCGGCCACACAGCCCTTAATGTCAGAAACCCTACCACTCTCCTTGGAGAAAACTCCCAGGATCTTGGCCTCCCTGGACTTGAAGTCCAAACTGCTGCAGTGTTGGAATTGTGCACATCTGCAACAGTTTCAGATAGACATTTTCAAGGATGCCATGTGGCAGTTTGTCTGCAGACATCTTAAGTAGGGGAGAAGGGTTTTCAGGTTTTAGGAGAGGTCTTAAGGCATGTGGTCCCGGCTGCTGCATCCTGTGAGTCCTGGGGAGACCATGGGAGACCAAGGCTCTGAGGGCTGTGTGGGCCCTGCCCTCTAGTGGCAAGCTAGGACTTGGCCACCTTGGAGTGGCAGCAAGAGGGACTCATGTCCCCTATGGGTGTTTGCCATTAACACCTACCAGGGGTGCTTTACAGCGTGGCCACTCATCCTTGCCCACCAACCAGGACTGGGCCCTGTTCTCTCTGACCCTGTGTGCCATGTCCTGTCTGGTGACCTTGTATGTATGGTTTAAACAACAGTCCTTGGTCCCTCTGGGGGAGCAATTACAAAGGCAGCAGCTCTTGTTTTTGAAAAGCCTGACTGAAGACTCCTCAGTGGCCATCTTTGTTGTGTTCTCTCCACCCGAGGAGGAGCTGAGCTCGTGCCTGTCGAGGTCCTGGTGCATTGGGATTGTGAAGCCCTGAGCCGCAGGTGGTGCCTCACTCCCTTTACACTGGCGAGGGTGCAGGTTGGTGTGTGGGTGCGTGTGAAAGGCAGGCTCTCGCAGGTGTGGTCTCCCTCAACCGGAGCCCTTTTCTGGGACAGTAGACACTCCTCTCAGCATAGAAAGGATGTTTAACTTTCAGTCTTCAGCTTTGGGTTCCAATAAAACTCCAGGATGATTTCATCTGTGCATGGGAGAAGTGTCTGGAAGGGGGACCCCCGACAGCAGGAAGGCACTTTGGGATGGCCAGGGGGACAGTGCTGTCCTTTGCTCAGGTTGTATTGCAGGCTGGGATTGCTGCTGTGGCTGCAGAATTGTTGATGCTGCAGAATGTGCAAGGGGACAGAATGTCCAAGCACTGGCTCCACAGGACTGCAGTGTAGGCCAAACCAGGATGCTTATGGGGCGTTCTGTGAGCCACCCAGCCCAGCGGGTTTCTGGTGGGCCCTCTGGCGGAGAAGCAACAGGAAGCAGGAATGAAGGTCCTGCAGGTGTTGGGCATCCTGTGAGAAACACCAGGCCCATCTGCTGGGCTGTGGGGGGTACGGGCTCTTGCTTTCTGCTTCATTTTCCTTTTCTCTGGGATCTTAGCTGTCCTTGGGGAGAGAACTCCTGGGCCCTGGGCTGAGCAGCAACGTTGGTGGGTAAGGCCTGCACTGGCCCTGGCTGCTGGCCCTGCTTTGGGGAGGCCTGTGCTGGGACCCCAGTGGGTTCTCTGTCTTCTGTAGCTGGATCTGCACCGCCCAGGACCCCTCTCTGTCCAGGCCTAAGCTGTAAGGAAAAGGGGTCTCACCAAGCAGGCATGAGCCTGTTTCTGCCTTGCCCACATGTGGCACTTTTCTCCAGCGCTCTGAGCTCAGGGAGGAGGGTGACTGTCCTGGCACGCTGCAGAGCACAGATGTGAAGTCAGACCTGGACCTGACCAGCTCCACGTAGCTGTGTAGTGGGTGTGCCACCAGAGGGGCACCTGCTGGGAGGGCTGCTCCTCCTGAGGGTCTGGGGTGTCTTCGTGCTGGGCTGTGAGAGCAAGGGCCAGGCAAGGGTAGGTGCCCTGGCTGGCGTGTGGTGTTCCAGCCCTGGAGGCCACCAGAGCTGAGGTGAGGAGGTGCCTGCTCCAGCAGTGTCCTGAGACCCCTCCACGACCTCAGAACCCCCATTAGTGCTGGGGAGCTCTGGCCTCCTGGAGTGGGGCACCCGTCAGAGCAGAGGTTACAGTGGGGGTGTTTGTTAGAAAGCCCATCCTGTTTCTGCTGTCGGGTGGCTGGCCGCATCAAGGGCCGGTCCCGGGTTCCTTCCTCTAACCCACCCCCCTAGCCTGCCCTGGCCGCCTGCCCACCCTGCAGGCCGCCACCCTCCCCAGGCAAGGGCCTGGGAGGGTGCTGCCGGCCCCCCACCGATTCCAACCGGGGAGGGTATAGTGGGTCTGAATTTCATCGCAGGGGCGCTGGGGGCGTGTTGGATGGCTGAGGACAATGACCTTGGCTGAGGAGGCTGCGGAGTTTCAGGAGGGCAGCCGGCTGCTCCGCCTGGGGGGCCGTGGGCGGGGCGCCTGCCGGTCCACCTTAAGCGGCAGCAGCGCGGCGCCGGCGGGTGGGATTTCCTGCGGGGGGTGGGCTCGCACCGGCCTATCGTCGCCAGGCGCCGCGCGTCCCGGGGCGCTCCCGCCTCGAGGGGCAGAGCGCTGGGCCCGGGTCCAGGTCTCCCCGGCACACTCCCAGGCCGCCCTCCTGGCCCTGCCCGCTGGCTGGGCTGGATCAGCCAGGGACCAACTACCACGACGGCCCGCAATGTCCCTCGGCCCCCTGCATGCCAGGGGCCCCAGAGGAGGGCGGTCGGCCCAGCCCAGCAGCGGCTGGGAGCCGGGCGGCAGCCTGCCCCGGGGACGCGCCCGGCGTGGTTAGAAAAAGACAGAAAATGGGCCCAGAAGGGGACCCGTGCCGGGACCTGGGTGTGGTTTTGCCGTGGGGACCCCCGCGCCTGGGGGTGCGGCTGCGAGGCCGCGGAGAGCTGGGCACGCGAGCGAGTGAGCCCGCGCCCCCCGGGGCCGGCGGGCGGGGCCGCGAGAAAGGGGTCGGCCCGGCCCCGCGCCCCGCCCCTCGCCCCGCCCCTTGCCCCGCCCGCCCGCGGCCCGCCCGTCCAGTCCACCTTAAGGGGCGCGCTGACATCAGCGCGCCGCCGCCGCCGCCCGTGGGGTGGGATTTCCTCCGCCGCCGCCGCCGCCGCCGCCGCCGCGCGGGTCCTGCGCCGCGTCCAGCCCGCCCGCCCGACCCCGGCCCGACCCCGGCCGGCCCCGCCCGCCCGGCCCCGGGGAGGGATGCGGCGGCGCGGCGCCCAGGATGCCCCGCAGCCCCGGGACGCGCCTCAAACCCGCCAAGTACATCCCGGTGGCCACGGCCGCCGCGCTGCTGGTCGGCTCCAGCACCCTGTTCTTCGTGTTCACGTGAGTCAGCGCATCGTCCGGACACGGGCGGTGTGTCGGGCCGGGGGCAGGGGTGGGGCAGGTGGGGCGCCGTCTGCGGGCTACGTGAGCCCCACCCTGGGATGGGGGCTGAAGCCCGTGCGGGCGTCCTGGAGGACCAGGGACAGGTGATTCCCGTGTGGGGACGCTGGAGCTAGCTGGCACCTCAGAGTATGCCAGGCAGGCCCTGGGTGGGAGCACTGGCCTGCCAGGGGGTAGGCCAGGCTGCCCAGGGTGTGGCTGCAGCCTTCCCACCCCATGGGCGCGTGCAGGGATGTGGGATGCCCAGAACCGACAGCCTTCTCTGCAGACAGCCGTGGGCGCCTCTTGGGTGCCCTCCTGGCCGCCTGCCCCGGGCCAGAGCCAAGTTGTTCCTGCGTAGGTGTGGCCTGGCCTTGTTGCCACATGACTGCTTCACAGCCGCTGGTAACCCCTGCCTGGCCCTTGGCCTCCCTCAGGAAGGCCTGGTGGTCGTTGCCACTGGAGGGCCCAGGCCAGGCCACACTCAGGGACCCGTGTTGGCATAGCACCTCTGTGGCCTGGGTGGGACGGGCATCGGGACCCTTGGGGCCAGGCCACCACCTTGGAGGAGGCCTGGCCTTGGAGGAGGGAGCACCCAGGCCGGCAGACACTTGACCTTCCGGCCTCAACTTCCTCACCAAAGACAGACCAGAGTGTCAGACTTTGGTCAGACCAGAGTGGCGCGATGACATCTCTGCCTTTCTCCATGCCTTGGGGTCACCCCAGGGCTCCTTCAGACACAAGGAGAGGTTAGGGGCTCCAGGGTTCAGTTTCTGGACCTTCAACCACGTACCCGCTTCCATAAGTCCGTGGCCACGGCATAGCCTGGGTGGCCCAAGCAGTGGCTACCTGCTCAGAGGTGGCCTGGCCCCTGAATGTGTGTGGTGGGAGTGGGGTGGGCAGGAGCTGCCTGGTGCCTTTCACCTTCCTGAGAGTGAGGCTGGCTGCCATGTGCACAGCTAGTCCGCTTGGGCGCCGGTGGAGGCGGGAGAGCTCCTACCTGGAGGCTGGGGCTGGGTGGGCACTGCAGGCTGCCAAGAATGCGTTTAAAAAAGGCCTGTGTGGATGGGCTTATTTCTGGCTTGGGCGAGCCAGCATGTTTTTGTCACTCAGATGCTGCTGGCAGGGGGCAGAGAGAGGGAGGGTGGTGGGTGGCCTAGGGTGCCTGGCCCAGGGGGACAGACCCCACTGAGGCTTCTGGAGGGATGGGCCCAGCCCATCCTTGTCCTTAGGGGCCTCCCTGGCGGGTTTCTCACTTCCCTGTGCAATTCAGTGTCCTTCTTGTTTCTTTAAAAGTAATGTATGATCTCTATGGAGAACTTGTGAAATGCAGAGAAAAAAATTTTAAAGAAATTGAAATCTGTCCTGACACCCCCCTCCCCGCCTCTCTGTGCCAGATGTCACTGCTACAGCACCTGGGCCTGGCTGTAGCCGTGGCTGTTGGTTCACACGTATGTGATTTCAGAGGGTCCTTGACACGGCTGTTCTTGCGAACATCGCCCATTGAGCACTTCAGCTGCCCCTCCTGTGCCGAGTGCCTTGCCTCCTCTGTTCCCGGAGTGCGGGCTCTGGGTTCGGGGACAGGTGCTCTCGAGTGTGGCGAGAACATGGCAGCAGCGTGGGCCGTGCCCTCGCCCTGCCTGCGTGTGGCCCACACGGACCTGAGCTGGCCCCGTGCTGGGCGTGCCGTGTGTCTCTGCAATAGGATGGGAGCTCAGGGGAGCTGCTCGCCCAGGTCTGATGTGTGGTGGTAATCTGCTGAGGCTCAGGAGCCTCCCTGACCCTGATGCCGAGGCCATACTCCCTGGCCCCTGGCCTGCCGTACCACGGCTCTGCCAGGCTCCTCCAAGACCCCTTGGTTCCTGAGAAGGGGGTCTGCCAGGGCCCAGGCCTGTTGATGCCGCCCACAGCAGCTGTGCCAATTCCTGGGTGGGCACGGGCTCAGGCAGGTCAGTTGGCTGTGCCAGCCTGGTCCCCTTCCTGGGGAGCCTCTTATCCACCCAGTGCCCCCCGCTTCTGCCCTGTGGCCTAGGACATGTTCCCAGGAAGGGGACCAGGCTGTTCCTATGCCCTCCCCACCTTTCCACTGGTACCTTCACAGGGGGTTGCCATCTCCTCTGGCTGTCCCTCAGACTTTACTAGACACTGAGTGCCCCTGAGTCCCCTCTCTGCACTCAGTGGGCGTCACTGTGTGCCAGGCAGCAGAGGGCAGTGCTGTCACACAGGGCCGAGGGCTGGAGGCCGAAGGAACCCGGACCCCCTTCCTCGGTCTGCTTACCAGAGGGTGAGAGCAGCAGGACCTTCAGACATCTCTCCAGGAGAGGCCAGGGCAAGGAAGGGTGCCTGGATGTGGGGACCCCCTGCGGCTGGAGTGTGTGCTGCGGGGCAGGCTCTCAGAGGCCCTCCTCCTCTAAGAAGCCTCCCTGGTTTACTGGTGGGGTTTGTGTTCTCCTGGGCCCCAGAAATCCTTCACACTGTGGTACAACTCTAGGCTGGGTCAGATGCTGGGGGGTCTGAAGACCCCCCTCCCCCAGGCCAAGCCTTGGCCCCCACCCCTCCCCTCTCAGGACCTCAGAGCCACATTCCAGGATAACAGGGCCCTTGTGAATGTTGGAGGACTGGGGCTGCTTGGTGAGCACCAGCACCTGGGGCTGGGCTGGGCTCTCTTACCTCTCTGTCTGGAGCATCTTGGATAGGGCCCAGCCCAGGACAGCGGGCAGTCCAGGCCTGTGACCAGCCCAGCCTCAGTGGGCCCAGATGGATGGACCGGGGCCTCACAGGGTGGGGCGGCTGGGGGTGGAAGTTCCGTGTGAGCTTCCTGCTGAGACTCGCTGTGTGTGGCCTGGGTTACCCTGGCCCCTGAGCCTCAGTGTCCGCCTCTGTCTGTAGGGATCTGTAGGGATTGGACAGGTGGGTGCAGGTACCATGAGGCCAGGGCCCCCTGGTCGGAGCAGCGCAGATGGCTCTGACCCGCTGGTCCCAGCGCCCCGTGGGTGAGTGCTGCCCTCAGACACAAACGTGCTAATGAAGAACCTGATTTAAATGAAAACGTCTGAGTTAAAATTTTCCATTCCACACTTAGCAGTGGCGGACATTCTGCCCCTAAGCCACCCCCCTGGGTGGCGTCTGCCTGCTAGCCAGGCGGGACTGTGGGCCTCAGCCTGGGTGGGGCCCACAGTGGAGGTGCGTGTCCCAGCCTGTGGCCCTGGAGGAGGGCTGGGGCCCCCAGGCCAGCGCCGGCCGGGAGGGGCTCGCAGGAGCACGGCTAGCCAGATGCCCCACTCCGGCCTGGGGGCCTGAGCCCACTGTGTTGGTCCCATCCTCCTGGCAAGGCAGCCTTGTGCTCGCTGTCGGGCCGTCGGCCTGGGTGGCAGTGGGGGGCATCCCTGCGGGCAGAGGGGCCTCTCCAGCCTAGGATGGGCACAGGTGTGGACTGAGCACTGCTGCCTGCTGGGCCTGCCATGGGAGTGTGTGTGTCCTCGAGCATCTCCACATACCCTTCCTGTCTTTGAGTATCCTCTCATGTCCCCATGTGTCCTCACACAGGGGACATGCCCCCCATAGGGGAGGGGGGCCCAGAGAGGGGCGTGGCCTTGCCTGAGGCCCAGAGCCAGGGGGCTGGACAAGGCTAGGGGCAGTGGGAGGAGAGGTGTGCCTGCGAATGTGTGCTCACATGTGCACATGCGCATGTCTATGAGTGAACGGATGTGCAAGTGCATCTGTGTTCATGTGTGTGCACCACCATGTACACAAGTGTGCATGTCCGTGCAGGTGGTGTTCTTATATGTACACGTGTCTTATGCGTGGATGTGGTTGTGTGTGTGTGTGCGCGCGCACCTTCTGTGCAGGAGAGCAGGTTGTGTGCTCATGTGCACACGTGCTTGTGGGCATGTGCACACATATACTTGTGCATATGTGCCCCGGAGTGTGCTTGTGTGTGTCCATGTGTGCACACGTCTTAATGTGTGTGTCTGTGTGCATGCCTACGTGTGCTCTTCATCTCTTTCCCCGAGCCATGTGTTTCCTGAGTCCTGGACCCTGGCAGGCCGGCCTGTGGGCCAGTCCTGTCAGCCGGGCTCCAGGCCTCGGGTCCCTGTGGCCTGGTGGAGAGCAGAGGGCAAGGGCCGACCCTGGGCCTGCGTCCAGCCTGGGGAGCAGAGACAGGCAGTGGCTCAGGTCCCCAGGCCCTCCTGACACCGGCTGAGGCCCCACACAGGCCGTCACAGGCATGCAGGTGGGTGGTGCCCACGCCAGGTGGGGCCGCCAGCACCTCAGTGCAGCGCTGCCTGGTCACAGCGCACATTTCCAGACGTGGGCCTGTTGCTGTGCAGCTGTGGCCCCCTTGCGCCCCAGGGACATCTCGCTCAGGCCACTGTCCAGCCCACTTAGTAGGAGGGAAACTGAGGCTCGGGGAGGACACTGCAATACAGCCTGCCTGGGTGGGCGGGGAGCTCTGGTCAGCATGGGGGTCCAGGCCCTGCCACCCCCTGCACAGGGCCAGGGCAGGCCAGAAGCCCAGCGCAGACACAGACCAGCCCCAAGGCCTCTGCGCTCACTCCTCGTTCGTGACCTGGGGAGGACTGACATCCTCCCTCCTCCGGGCCTGGCAGGCCAAGCACATGTGTACCGTGCAGGGTGGGGCGGCTCCGTGCCCGCCCTCTGCCTGCCCTGTCCTTGCTGGCCCGGGCTCCTTCCTCTCCCAGAGCAGGCTCCACAGGCACCACGCAGCCTGTGCTTGCTTTAGTGCTCTGTTATCTATGTCTCGAAATTCCTAATATTTTTTAAACAAGGAGCCGCATTTTCATTTGCACAGCCCTCCCCAGGAGGAGGGCTGGGCTGGGCTCTCGGGCGTCTCTCACCTGTCTGTGTCCCGCCTTGCTGTGCTGCACGACTCAGGGGCCCACCGTCCTGGCTGATGGTGTGGCTTTGGAGGCCACGCGCACGTTTCGAGTCGGCCTGTATGCCAGGCAGGGCTGGGAGGGTGGAGGGAAGGCTTCGAGCCAGGCCGAGGGGCGAGGATGGGGAAGGCCCTCCCAGCAGAAGAAGCCACACGGCTCCAGCCGGTGTCCTCATGCGGGGTGTCCACCTTTGAGGGCCGGCTCTGGACGAGAGGCAGGGTAACACACAGCTCCTGGCCCCGCTGAGGGTTGCTGCCGTGGGAGGCGGAATCTTTAAATAGCCTCTCACTTTCCACTAAAAATAGCGAAGTTCTGCTGCTGTGGAGGTGGTTGCTGGGGTGGCGGGGCCGGCTCCCAGCCAGGGCTGGTGTGGGTGCCGCAGTGTGGCCACGTGTACTGGGTGGTGGGCAGTGCGTGGGCCCTGTCCCCTGCTGGTGGCCCCTCAGCCCCAGCTCCACAGATGGCCTGGGTGTGAGGAGGGCGCGAACCTGTGTGTGCCACAGGAGCCAGGTTTGGGGCCCCAGGGAGAGACGGGGAGTTTGAGGACCAAGGGGCTTCCTGGGAGCCGAGCGGGCGCATTCAGGGCCCTGCTGTGGGCTCCGTGGCCTAGGGACTGGTGGGCCTCCTGGGAGATTCTGGCCAGGCTCCGTGAGGGCTGAGGAAGGCACTTTGTAGGGAAGTGTGTGAGCCCCATACAGAGAGACTGCAGAGGGCACTCCTCGAAGGCTTCCTGGGAGAGGGGGCGGCCTTGGAGCCAGGTGCTGAGGAGTGGTGAGATGGGGAGGGGAGGCGTGTGTGTCTCCAGTCCCTGGAGCATTCTGTGCTGCCATCTGGGCAGTAAGGTGACAAACTCACTAAAAGAAGGGGCTGGCAGGACGGGGGTGTGCCCTTCTAGGAAGAGCGGGGCCAGGGGGAGGGACAACCCTTGTGCATTTACTGACCCAGGATTGAGGCTCCTCACACCCCCAAATCTCCCTGGTGACGGGGCCTTGCTGGGCTGAGGACAGGTCTGAGTGAGGCCTGGGCTGGCCCAAGCTACCCAACAGGTCGCTGCCTTCTGCCTGTCACAGCACACAGGCACTGCAGGCGTGTTTCCCATCCCATGCTCCTGCCCCAGTCTGTGCCCCACGGGGCAGGGGAGCCCAGAGAGTTGGCCAGGGCAGGAGGGTGTATGTGCCCTGGCTCTGGGCACCTCTCTTCAATGGTGTGACCCCAGGCCTGTGGCCTCTGCGCCTCAGTTCCCTCTATGGTGAGTTGTATTCCAGACAGCCGCCCTGGGGGTGCTGGATCAGAGCTGGCGTTGGGGGGTCTACATACCACACAGGACGAGCAAGGCCTCTGATGGTTGAGCAGAGGCTTGACGTGGCCGAGGTCTCCCGGTGGGCCCGTGGCATCCTCCCCATGCCTGCCAAGCACTGATGGTGGCCCTGCGGGCCCAGCCTGCACACATGCTCTCGAACCCCTCCACACCCCCAGACCCCACTCTCGCCCTGCTGCCCACTGCAGGTGCCCGTGGTTGACACGAGCTGTGTCCCCAGCCGTTCCTGTCTACAATGGCATCATCTTCCTCTTTGTCCTGGCCAACTTCAGCATGGCCACCTTCATGGACCCTGGCGTCTTCCCCCGAGGTAGGGCCCTGTGCTGGGGCACTCATTTGCTCACTTTTGCTAGAGTGTGAGCAGCTAATTGGGAGCACCTTGGGGGTTCCCAGTGAGTGGGCTGCGCAGAGATCGGGAAGGGGCTCTTCTATTGGGAAAGTCACCTTCTGCCTGGCCCCTGGTCTGCAGCGGATGAGGACGAGGACAAGGAGGACGACTTCCGAGCCCCGCTGTACAAGAACGTGGATGTGCGAGGCATCCAGGTCCGCATGAAGTGGTGCGCCACGTGCCACTTCTACCGCCCGCCACGCTGTTCCCACTGCAGCGTCTGTGACAACTGCGTAGAGGTGACCAGCGCTGCCCTGCACTCCCCCAGCCCCACCCCACGTCCCCGCCTGCCACACGCCCTGACACGCTGCCCCTGCTCAGGACTTTGACCACCACTGCCCCTGGGTCAACAACTGCATCGGGCGCCGCAACTACCGCTACTTCTTCCTGTTCCTGCTGTCGCTCAGCGCACACATGGTGGGCGTCGTAGCCTTTGGCCTGGTCTACGTGCTGAACCATGCAGAGGGGCTGGGCGCTGCTCACACGACCATCACGTATCCTTGGTCCCCGTGTGCCTGGTCGCAAAGGCAGTGTGGGTGGGGAACACATTTTACAGGAGAAATTGAGGTTCACAGAGGTTGGACGGCTGCCCAGGGATCCACAGCGGGTGGGTCACCATCCCCAGGTGGGCAAGGGTACGTGTTTGTCCAAGGCACCTGCCCTGTGCCACTGTGAGGGGGTCTCCTGTGTCCTCACCTGTGCCATTGGCCTTAACAGGCTAGCATGGCTGTCATGTGTGTGGCCGGCCTCTTCTTCATTCCTGTCATCGGCCTAACGGGCTTTCACGTGGTGCTGGTCACTCGCGGGCGCACCACCAACGAGCAGGTGCAGACCCTGCTGGGGGACGGGGGTGTCCCTCAGTGGGCCGAGAGGGCCACGGCTGCTTGGGGACAGTGTTGTGGAGACCCTTACCAGAGGTGGCTTGTGTAGCTGTGGTGGGAGGGGCTCCACACCTGCCCTGGCCCTGCATACTCCCTGTCTGTGGACACTAGCCACTGGTGACTCAGGGCCAGGCCAGGATGACCTGAGTGAGGGGCACCCCTGGGCTGGCTCTGCCCAAGCACTTCCCACAAGAATCAGCTTCTGAGGGGCCCCAGCCGCCCCCCACACCCCACCCCGGTGCCTGAGTGGCCAGGCTGGCTGAGGGTCCCATGTCCACAGGTGACGGGGAAGTTCCGCGGGGGCGTGAACCCCTTCACCCGAGGCTGCTGTGGGAACGTGGAGCATGTGCTGTGCAGCCCCCTGGCGCCCCGGTGAGGCCCGGGGGCAGGGTGGCACCGGGGTCTCTGCTGGGGATGGGTGGGCAGCCCCAGTCCTTCAGCCTGGCCCATTTCGGCTCTCGCCAGGTGGGGTGGGCCCTGCCCTTGTGTGTTCAAGGCAGGTGGCCTGGCCACTGACCCTTCTGCCCTGGTGCAGATACGTAGTGGAGCCACCCCGGCTGCCACTTGCTGTAAGCCTACAGCCGCCCTTCCTCCGGCCCGAACTCCTGGAGCGAGCTGCGCCGCTCAAGGTCAAGCTCAGTGACAATGGGCTGAAGGCCGGCCTGGGTCACAGCAAGGTGGGGACCTGGGCTGGGATGAGGGTGGTGAGGGAGGCAGGCCCTTACAGAAGGGGGAATGCGGATGGGCTGGTGGAGCCTGGGGTGGGTTCTGGGGGAGGGTCTAGGTCTTAGCTGGGCAGGAAGGAATCCCCAGTTAACCCCCACCCCTCCTCCAAGCCCTGCCCACCACTGACTTGCCCCCTCCCAGTCCAAGGGCAGTTTGGACCGGCTGGACGAGAAGCCGCTGGACTTGGGGCCGCCGCTGCCCCCCAAGATAGACGCCAGCACGTTTGGCAGCGACCTGCAGACACCGCGCCCGGGCAGTGCTGGTGAGGTGGGGGAGCCAGACGGGTGTGGGGTTGGGGGTGATGGACTAACCCTGATCTAGCCCTAGGCTGACAGTTGTCTGCTGCCCCAGAGAGCGCCCTGTCAGTGAAGAGGACCAGCCCCCCGACGCCTGCCATGTACAAGTTCCGGCCCGCCTTCTCCACGGGGCCCAAGTCGCCCTTCTGCAGGCCGAGTGAGCAGGTGAGGAGGCCTGGCCCCGCCCACGGATGCCCTGCCCTATCTAGGCCCCAACCCAAGAGCCCCTGCCTCTGAGGCCCTGCTCTACAGAGGCCCCGCCCACCTGGGGGACTGAGGGGGCCCTTGGAGGCTGGCTAGCAGGATATAGTGTCCTGGGAGGGGCTGGCGCAGATGGGCCTGTCCCAACATCTGTCCTTGGGTGGCACTGCCCTAACCCGGTGAGCGGCTGCCCCCGGGAGCAGTGTGTGCAGGATGCCTGGAATTCTACCCGGGGCCACTTTTGAGGCCCACGGAAGGCTTCAGAGGAATTTGAGATTTGCTCCAGAAAGCACATTCATCCTTTGAGCCGTGTGAGGACTCTGGTCACTGTGGTGTGGCCAGCAGTGCTGGACGGCCTACGGAACGGTCCAGAGCCCTGGGTGTTCCCAGGGCACCATCCCTCCTTCAGGGCTACCATGAGAGGCAGGCTGTGGCCAGGCCCCACCCTGGGGCCCCTCAGGGCCCCCCCCACCCCTCTGGGCCCACATCCTGCCCATCCTTCCTCTGGGGACACTGGGTGGGCAGTGGGTCTGAGCCCGGCAGGTGTGTGGGCTCCTCAAGTCTCAGTCCTTAGGGCCACGGTGCTTTCCTCGGTGTGGCCACATGGCTCCCTCCTCCCACCCGAGTGTGGACTGCAGCAGGCCTGCTAGGCCTTCCCCTGGGAGACTCTGTCTGGGGCTGCCATGCTACTCCACTCTGTCCTGGACCCCTCTGAGGTGGGCCCAGCGGAGGTGGGCATGGCCAGACAAGGAGCATTTTGACTTGCATGTGGGTTGCTCCTGCTGCTAAGGTAATGTCCCTGGCACTGCAGCCTCCCGTGGGCACACGGTTCTGGCGTCTGTGGGCAGGGAGGTGGGTTGGCAGTGCTGAGACTGCTGCTCTCCTCACAGGTCCCAGGCCCCGACCCCCTGGCCCTGGGGGACGACAGCATCCACAGCCTAGACTTTGTGTCTGAACCCAGCCTCGACCTCCCCGACTACGGGCCCGGCGGCCTCCACGCGGCCTACCCACCGTCCCCGCCACTCAGCGCCTCTGATGCCTTCTCGGGTGCTTTGCGCTCTCTGAGCCTCAAGGCTGCAGGCCGGAGGGGCGGGGACCACATGGCCTTGCAGCCCCTGCGCTCCGAGGGTGGGCCGCCCACGCCCCACCGCAGCCTCTTCACCCCCCATGCGCTGCCCAACCGCAACGGCAGCCTCTCCTACGACAGCCTGCTCAACCCTGGCTCGCCGGGCGGCCACGCCTGCCCAGCCCACCCTTCGGTTGGCATGGCCGGCTACCGCTCGCCCTACCTGCACCCTGCGGTGGCGGGTGACCCACCACGGCCCCCACCCCGCAGCTTCAGCCCCGTGCTGGGCCCCCGGCCACGGGAGCCTTCGCCCGTGCGCTACGACAACCTGTCCAGGACCATCATGGCGTCCATACAGGAGCGCAAGGACAGGGAGGAGCGCGAGCGGCTGCTGCGCTCGCAGGCCGACTCACTCTTCGGAGACTCGGGCGTCTACGACGCGCCCAGCTCCTACAGCCTGCAGCAGGCCAGCGTGCTGTCCGAGGGCCCCTGCGGCCCCGTGCTGCACCACGGCTCCAGGGATGACCTCGTGGCTGGGCCCAGCTTCGGAGGCGCCCGCAACCCCGCCCTGCAGACATCGCTGTCCTCGCTGTCCAGCTCTGTGAGCCGGGCGCCGCGGACATCCTCCTCCTCCTTGCAAGCTGACCAGGCCAACAGCAACGCCGTGGGGACCCGGCCTGGCAGTGGCTCGCACAGGTCGCCTGTGCGCCAGGGTCTGCCTTCCCCGCCTGGCACTCCCCGCTCACCTTCCTTCTCGGGCCCCAAGGCCGTCGCCTTCATCCACACGGACCTCCCGGAGCCGCCGCCCTCGCTGGCCATGCAGAGGTGGGTGCCTGGAGGTGTGGGCGGGCTTCCTGGCGCAGGGCAGCCACGGAGCTGCCTTCAGGACCCTTTTTGGCTGGGCTTTCGTGGGTCATCCAAGAGGCCTGTGGTTGACTCCAAGGAGAGGCCAGGGAGGCTGGGCCTCATACTGCTGTGAGGCCCCTGGCTGGCCTGTGTGAGGGTGGCACCGCTCCAGGGACACCCTGGGCACACTCTGGTGACAAGGCAGGAGGATTTGCGTGCTGACCCCAGTGTCATTCTCCCAGGGCCAGCACAGACACTACAAGTGGGCATGCTCGGGGCTGCCTCCTTTGAGGTTGGTGCCACATGGCAGCCTGAGCCTCCTCTGGCCATGGCTCTGTCCTTCTGGCCACTGCGCCTGTCCACCCAGGGCTCTCCCTGGGCCTGCTGTTCTGCATTTCTGAGGCTGGGGACAGCACCTTATAGCAAAACATGCTGCAGGTGCCACGCCCTGGTCCTCAGTGGGGCACGTAGGCTCTAGAGGCAGAGGCTTCCCTACTCACAGATGGGGAAACTGAGGCCCAGAGAGGGCAGGCTGGTTCAGGCCTCAAGACAGAGAACATGGGGCCTTCAAAGCATCTCCCCATCTGGGCCCTGCAGCCCCAGCACAAGCTCTATTATTTCCTGTCGGCAGATCGAGGTCCCTGGGGGAGACCCCTACCTGGGCCACTTGGTCACAAAGGGGCTGCTGTCATGGTGAGAGCCTGAGACCCAGAGGGTGGCCCCTGTGCAGTGAGGCGTGACAGCAGCTGCGGGGTAAGGGGCTCCCCGGGCAGGAGCTGAGGGGATGCCAGACGGTCACTGCTGGGCTCCTCAGCCAGGGACCAGGACAGGGTGTGATGAGGCCCAGGGCTCTTAGTCCAGTGGCCAAGCCAGTGCTGGCTGGGGGACTGACGGACTGAGAGGCAGGTGGCAGTTCTGACCATGTCTATCTGCCTTGTGACAGCTCAGCCCTTCCCCAGGCAGGCTCTGCACCCCCCACTCGCTCTCCAAGTGAGACACTCGAGCTCAGAGGGGAGGGAAGGGCTTGCCTGGGGCCCAGACATGGGGCTGGGCCAGCCAAGGCTCCAGTCCACATTTGCGCCGTCTCTGTCCTGTTGCCTCTGCCGTCCTGTCCCCCTGTGGTCTGCGTGGTCCCGTGTTCACTCTGTGCATGCGTGTATGTGCTTGTTTTGATGCAGGGACCACCCTCAGCTGAAGACCCCCCCAAGTAAGCTTAACGGGCAGTCCCCCGGCCTGCCCCGGCTGGGGCCTGTCTCTGGCCCCCCAGGGCCCTCCGCCAGCCCCACCCGGCACACGCTGGTTAAGAAGGTGTCCGGCGTGGGTGGGACCACGTACGAGATCTCAGTGTGAGGACTGACCACCACCCATCGGCCATGGTGCCACGGGGACCAGGGCCCCCAGCAGCCCTCCCCCCACCGACTTCTCTGCCCCAGGGACAGGAGGCCACCTCGGCCGGTGTGGAAGTATCAGCAGGAATGAGCGCCACGCCTCCACAGCTTGTCCCAAGCCTTCTGCCTGTCTACCCACTTGTCTGCGCCTGGGGCACGCAGGAGCCCGGCCCAAGCTGGGCCTAGGGCTGCCGGGCTGCAGGTCTGTGCAGTGGGGCCCTGTCAGCTGTGTGACCCCAGGTTGTAGCCAGGCCGGCCCACGGCATCCCATAGCCCCACCATTCCCCTTACAGATGGGTCCCTGAGGCCCAGAGGCATACAGAGGTGCCCAGGGCCCCTGCCACCCTCCTGATGCAGCCTGTGGGCTCCGGGACGGAGGGTCCCCCGCCAGGCTGCTCCTAATGCGTTGCCTTTTGTGGACCCACTGGAAGCTTGTAGCTTGGCAGGGCCGGTGCTTCTGCAGGGAGTCCAGCCTCGTCTACTCTGGGTTGTGACGGACAGGTGGACAGACGGACAGCCAGCCAGCTGTGGCAGGGGTCCCAGCTCTGTGTGTCCTGTCTTGCCCGGCCAGCGGGCTCATGTCCCCACGTCTGTGTGCCGAGCTGCCATGCTGTGTCCAACGTGTCAGCGCTCCAGCCGCCCCCGCCCCTTTCACTGAGGCCTTAACCTCTGCTTTATGCTCTTGTGGGAGGCGACAGGGCAGGCAGGAGCGGGCGCTGTTGGGCGATGCTGCCACGGGGCGGCGGACACCTGGAGCCCTCTCCCTAGCTCTCAGGCCCTCCCTGCCAGACCGGGAGTCTGCCCTGGCACGCCAGCCCCCAGCCCTGGCCCGGCAGCGGCGTGCGCTGTGTGGAGAGCACGTCGGGGAGGGCAGTGCTTCCCCTGGCGCGGGGACCTGTGAGTAAGCACACGACAGCGTCCGCTTGCGTGGTGTCTGTTTTATGTTTTTATATCTACATCTATATATCTATAATTTTATTAAAAAAAAGAAAAACAGTCATTTTGATTCTTTCCTTGGGCAAGGCCAGGGCTGTTGCTGCAGAGACCTGGGGCTGGGGTGGCTGGCCGGCTGGCGTGCACGGGGTCCGCACGTTCCTCTGGGCGTTTCTGCTGACCTGAGCGAGTCAGAGGCCTGGGAGGCAGGCGGGGGGCTCCCAGCAATAATGGCGTTTCTGGGGAAAGGCGGGGCTGCGCTGCCCCACGGGGACCCAGGAACCCAAGCACATGGGGAGATAGGATGGGCATACAGGGCACTGGCTGCTGCCCTTGCTGGAGTTCTCTCCTGTCTGCCAAACGCCGGCGGCCTGGCTGGGGAGTGTTGGGAATCCACATGTTCATGGCTGAGGGGCTGGGAGGTGTGTGGGGCTCTGGGACCTGGAGGGAGGCAGCTCTGCCCGGGGCTGACCTCCACCTTTCTGCTTCTTTCTCATGGTCGCCACGGCCTGCAGGGGGCGGATCGGCACCTGCAGCCGCGGATGGGGGCGGCGCGGCCCACCCAGGGTGCCCCCCGGGCTGCACCTGTGCCACATTGGCCGCCCTGAGGACCGCCCACCACTGCGGGCCCCCTGGAGCCCAGCTGCCGGGGCACCCCCCCGCGGGGCCATGTGCCGCCTGCACTTGGCCGCGTCCAGCCTTTTCCCCAGCCTCTCGGGCCCCTAGCAGGACACCAAGTAGACACCCAGCTGCAGACCCAGGAGGCCAGGCTGCCGCGGACCCTGGGGTGGGGCTGGGTGTGGCCTGGAAGTCTGTCCTCTACCAGCTGCATCTTGACTGAGTCCCAGCCTGCTGGGGCCCGTGACCCTGTGTCCATGTGACCTCAAGAAGTCCCCAACCTGCTGCAGGGGGTCCAACACCCCAAGAGGGCGGCCCTGGAGCTGCTGGGACCAGCAGGACCTCCACCCCAGCCTCCCTGCCCAATAAGCACTTTAGACTAAGTCACTTCCTCCCTAGGGGGCTCAGGCCTCTGGGTTGGGCTGGGGGGAGTTCTCAGGTTGCCCCTGCAGGTCACTGCACTGCCCCCACCCTGTCCCCAGCACATGAACAGATGCCTTAACTTCCTGCAGCCGCCAGCCTGGTGAGCCACTGACCCCCTTGCCTGCCCGCCAAGTCCCCCTAGCCAGCTATGCCACGGCCCCCTGGCCACCAGCACCCAGAGATGATGCACCTGGGAGCTCAGAGGGTCCGCAGTCCACAGCCCTGCAGCCCCCAGGCCAGTTTGGCCTGGATGCCCTGGGGCAGGATGGGGTGGTATCCTGGCCAGCCCTTCTGCACAAGGTCCCTGTCCCCGGAGTCCACTCTGGGCAGGGCTCTATTTCTCCCATTTTGGGACAAGACAGCCACAAAGCTATTCTCTATTGTTCTAAAGGGTACCACCCCCAATTCATTTCCCCAAATAAAATTTTTGGTGTTTACCTCCACAGCTGTCTACCAATGTGGTCTCCTCGCCTGAGCCTTGGGCACTGACAGGAGCCTGGGCCGGGGAGGGGAGGGGAATGGGGTGAAGGGGGTGGTGGCCGTGCAGGAGCTATATGAGGAGCTGGGGAGAGGATGGGAGGGGGTGGGGGTGGTGGCCAGGTGGGGACAGAGGTTCCCTGAGGGGCTTGAGCAGATTCAGGGCTGAAGACCTGACCTCTGAGGTCTGGCGGGGGCCTGGCCCAGGGGATCCCACTGTGCCATTGGTGCAGTGGAGACCCTCCTGCGATACCCTCGGGGCTTGGCGCCCTGTGGAAGGACTCCCACTGCCAGATCCACCTCAGAAGGCATCACTCAGCCCCCACCGCGCCCCCCTGTTTCCATGGAAACAAGTTCTCAGGCCGTGAGTGTCATGACTCTATGTCCAGCCGCAGGCCCAGCCCTCAGGACAGACCCCGCCTCCACCCTTCTCCGCAGCTCCTGGTGGGGACTGTGCGTGGCAGTGCCGCAGGCTGATGCTGGCGCAGCCACTGGGTACCCGGGGCAGCACTGGCCACCAGGCCTCCTCCTCGCCAGGGTCACTGGGCCTCCCGCCTAAAAGGGCAGGAAGTCGTCCACCTCGAGGCGCAGGAAGGGGCCCAGCAAGGCTCGGAGCTTCCAGACGGCGGCACGGCTGAGCAGGGGCGGCACCAGCCCCTCGAAGGGCGCAGGGTCCACCACATACACATAGGCGGCGGTGCAGGCCAGCAGGGCGCCCAGCAGCAGCCTCAGGGCCAGCAGCCTGTGGGCAGCGGCGGTCAGGGGCAGGGGGTGTCCGTGGGGACAGTCCGGGGGTGGGCTCTGCCCGCTCGGTGACCTACCAGAGCTGGCCCGTGAGGCCCTCGGAACATCCCAGCTGCGGCCTCCCTTTCTGTCGGGGAGGGCCTGGTCAGAGCCTGCTCCGAGGGCCCAGCGGAGGCCAGTCCCCTGGGTCAGGGGACCTGTGACCGGCAGGGATCCCCCACCACACCCCACCTCCCCCAAGAGGCTCCTGAAGCCACTTGCCATGACGGCTCTGGTGTCTGCTTCCTGCAACCGCCGCTCCCCCACGCCTGGCCTGCCCCTGAGCCTGTTTCTCTCCCTCCCCAGCAGGGCCCGTGGGGGCCGTCCCCACGCTGGGTGGAGTGTTGAGTGGGGGCTCACCGTCATGCATGCCATCTGCTGCTCCTTCCTGGCCTGGGCGCGGCACTGGGCCCGCTCCCTGGGGGGCCGCACTGTCAGGACCCTGCCATGCCCCCCAGCCTGGCACCACCCGCTGGTTTGGTGCCACAGAGCTGGGGCTCAAGGGTGGGTCCAGCCCATCCTGACCAGGACACCTTCCCGTCTGCGCCCCTCACATCACCCTAGAATCTCCAGCTGAATGTCCTCCATCTGATCCAGCACGCCCCGGATGTCCTTCTTGAGGTTCTGGGGGGCAGAGGAGGTAGGTAAGGCAGGTGCCCGACCCTGCTGCTCTCCCCGCCTCGCACCCTCACCCTCATCTCCCGGGGATTGCCTGTAGGGGACCTACCAGGAGCCCAGTGGCCTGGTTGTTCAGGGCCATATGCACCTCGGCCACGCCGTCCCACACCTGGGGACAGGGGAGGCCGGGTCACACCTGCGGAGCAGCGCCCACAAGGAGGGTCCCTAGCACCCCCCCTACCCCAGCCAGGTGGGCACCTCAGTGATGGCCATCTTCTTCCTCTCAAAGGACAGTCGGATCTGCTGCAGTTCGTTCTGGGGAAGGGACAACAGGTGGCCAGCCCCTCCACCAGGCTCACCTGGGACTGCTGCAGGAAGGCCCCTCCCCCACAGCCCCTGCCCCAGGCCTACCTGGGACTGCTGCAGGAAGGCCTCGTGCCCCTGGCATAGCTCCTGCCGCAGCAGCTGCAAAGGGGCCCGCTCCTCCAGGCGCTGGGTGCCAGCTGGCTCCGGGGGCTATGGGAGAGCCCCCAGTTTAGTGTCCATGGACTAATGAGGGTGTGCTGCCTGGGGTCCTAGGGCCACGACCCCCACCTGCCATGCCGCACTTACCCAGGCCAGGACTGTGCAGCTGGAGTGCTCAGGACACAGGGGAAGGAACTGCTGCCCCGGCCCCAGGAGGGCCCCTAGCTGCTCCCGAAGGTCCTGGTTCTGCCGTTTCTGGGGGTGAGAGGCAGAGAGGGGATGCCTGTCACAGCCGGTCCCTGGAGGAGGGCGTGGCCCGCTGCCCAGGCAGCGGCTCACCAGGCTGTGGTTCTCCTGCTCCAGCTGCAGAAAGGACTGTTCTGCAGACCCCAGCGGCCGGCACTGGAGTGGGGAGGGGACTGCCCTGGGCGAGGTTGGGGCCCCACCCCCCAGCGTCAGGGGCGGGCACGGGCAGGGTCTGGGCCCTGGGCTGGGAGTGGGGCCCTGCCTGGGAGCCCCCTGCTCTCGGCCTGGGTGTGGGGGCCAGCCCCACCCTGGCGCTGCCCCCACTTCTTGTCTCGGCCCCGTAGGGTCTCTTGCTCTCTGCTGTGGCATCTCTCCCTCTTCACAGGAGAGAAAGATCCCAGGAGACTCACCCCCCACCCTGGGCCCCCCACCCCCTGTCCCCAGGGCTGGGAAAGGCCTCTCGGACTCCACTGGGTGATCAGAGGTGAGGGGGACCAGGCAGGGCCACCTTACAAATCCCTGGTAGGACTGGTCCAGGCATCCTCCGTGGCTGCTTGAGGCTGGGGCTGGGGCTGGGGCTGGGGCTGTGGGACATGGGGCGTGGGAGTGGCCACAGGGGCCCAGGGTTTTTGGCCCCTCCATCCCTCCCTGGGACCCCTTCCTGACCCCAGGTCCAGGCTCTGGCCTGGCTCGACCTGCCACCCTCTGAGGACACTCTGGGCTCCCACTGGCTCCCAGGCTGCCCCAGGCTACCGTCACAAAGGTGGGTGCAGTCAGGGAGGTCACAATGGGCTGGGCTGTGGCCAGAGCCAGCTGCTGGGCCCCTCCCACCAGCTCTAGTCCTGAGGTCACCCTACTTGGTCACCTCCTTCTGCTCTGCCCCCCCGCCCCCTGCCAGTGGCTTTTTTTCTTAAAATGTAAAGCATACACACACTCAGGGTGCAAAAAACAATCAAAGAACAAAGGTGGTGTCCAGGGCGAGCGTCTCTCCCAGCCCCGTCTCTTGTCCCTGCCACCAGCACCGTCTGCAAGCCCCTCCCGGCGTGGGCTGCCCATCCCTGCGCAGCCTGGTACGCCCTGCCCCGCCACACAAGAGAGATCACCCTACAGCCTGGCTTATTTTTTTTTTTTTTTTTGAGACAGAGTCTCACTTTGTTGTCCAGGCTAGAGTGAGTGCCGTGGCGTCAGCCTAGCTCACAGCAACCTCAATCTCCTGGGCTTGAGTGATCCTTCTGCCTCAGCCTCCCGAGTAGCTGGGACTACAGGCATGCGCCACCATGCCCGGCTAATTTTTTTTATATATATATCAGTTGGCCAATTAATTTCTTTCTATTTATAGTAAAGACGGGGTCTCGCTCTTGCTCAGGCTGGTTTTGAACTCCTGACCTTGAGCAATCCGCCCGCCTCGGCCTCCCAAGAGCTAGGATTACAGGCGTGAGCCACAGCGCCCGGCCTTATTTTTTATTTTTATTTTTTTTACCCAATGTATCTCTGAGATTTGTTTAAAATTATTTTTTAGTTATTTATTGAATTGCCATTATTATCCTCTGTTTGTGGGTGGGGAAACCGAGGCATGAAGACTTTTAGTTCCTTGCCGAAGGTCATGTGCTTATTCCTGGTGGCAGCAGGTTCCACCTTGCTCTTCACCACTTTGGGAGCTTTTGGCGACTGCAGAGCACTCGATGGTGGGGCCAGACTCGAGTCCCATGTCTGGTTTTCGTTCCTTCTTCCTGACCCGCCACCACGCCACGGGTCCCACCACCCCCTCGAGGCCCCAAGCACCTGTGTCCTCCTCTGTCTTGGCTCTTTCCCTTGTTCTCGGAACCATGTCCTCTGTCCACACCCTCAGGAAGCTGGCTCAACCCTGGTGTGGTGGAAACGCCCCGCCCCTCCCAACTACCTTGGTCGCTGCATGTGACTCTGCTTCCTCACTAGAGGCTAGTCCCTCTGCACCCGGGGCCCTGGGCCAGCCTTGGAGCCTCTGTGGCCCATGGGCTGTTACGGAGGTGTCTTGGGCAGAGGTTTGCAAGACGCCTGTGTCTCGGGCCTCTGCCTTTCTCAAGGCTCTGGAGGACCCTCCAAGGAGGAGGCCCGGGCTGGGCCATAAGATGCGAGGTCATCCCATCCCATCTCCCCACCTGCCTGAAGATAGGGGGTGCAGCCCTGCAAGACCCCCAGAGAGCTGGCCCCAGGGACAGCCAAGTCTCAGAACACACACCCCTGAGCCCCAGGCTAAACCACGGTTGTTTTTGCTGCTGAGTTTGGACTGTCACCTGGGAATCACAGGTCTGGAAACATCTGACTGACCTCATGCCTGCTGGACAGGGGGCTGGGGAGAGAATCAGGTCCGAGGGCATTTTCCCCGGGAATGTGAGGCAGTCCTGGTGGTCCTCGGCTGTGCTGGGGCTGTCTCCGGACCCTTTTGGGCCCTCTCTGGCCCCCGCCGATCTGGGAGTTCATGGTGACTGAGAGTGTTTCCTCAGCACTTGGTGGGCGTGTTCCATCCTGAGGCTCTCCTTTCTTGGATAAAATTTCTTCTTATGCTGCTCATCTTGGACCCCCACCCCTAGTAGTCAGATGTTGGGCTTTTTATTAGAGCTTATGAGTTCTTCCCTTTTTTCTACCTGTCTTTGTTACTTGTAGGTAGATTTATTTCCTTGAGTTATCACACGCATGCACTCTCTCTGCTTTTTGTTTTTTAAATTGTTTTGAATTTCAGCAATCATGTTTTTTTTTTTTTTTTTTGAGACAGAGTCTCACTTTGTTGCCTGGGCTAGAGTGCCATGGCATCAGCCTAGCTCACAGCAACCTCAAACTCCTGGGCTCAAGCAATCCTGCTGCCTCAGCCTCCCAAGTAGCTGGGACTACAGGCATGCGCCACCATGCCCGGCTAATGTTTTCTATATATATTAGTTGGCCAATTAATTTCTTTTGATTTTTTTTTTAATAGTAGAGATGGGGTCTCACTCAGGCTGGTTTTGAACTCCTGACCTTGAGCAATCCGCCCGCCTCAGCCTCCCAGAGTGCTAGGATGACAGGCGTGAGCCACCGCGCCCGGCGAAATCATGTCTTTAATTTCCAAGCCATCTCTGCTATTCCTCAAGCGCCTCCTGCTCTTCTTTCAGAGCATCCTGTTCTGCTTTAGGGGTCACGTGGGTTTGGGGAGAGGAGGATCTTTTGCTTTCTGTGTTTTCTCTCTTCCCTTTCTGGTTCTGTTTGGTTTGTCTGCTCTTGGGACTTCCCAGTAGACACTGTCCTCAAACGTCTGGCTTTTCTTTCTTCTCTATTTCTGTTTGTAGAGGAGGCAGGCAGAGCTGACGGGCAACTTCTCTCCCTGTTAACTCTAGAGAGCTGGGGCGGCAGGTAGGCTCCTGGAAGGGAGGTGTCTCCCTCTGAGGTTCTAAGGTCTGGAGTGGGGGACATGTTGGAGGCACTGCCAGACAGTGCCCGTTCATGCCTGCTGTCCTGCCTTGACTATTCAGAATGCTGTCTCCCTCAGAGCAGTGGGTAGGTCACTGTAGGCCACTCTGGCTTGTCCCATTCTACCCTTGCCTTGCTGACACCTGGGCTATCCTGCTGAAGTTTCTCGAGGTTCCTTGTCTGCAGGTGGCCTCTCTCCTGCTGAATGCCACCTGGGGTGGACACATAGCAGGAGACACTGAGGGAGGCAGCTCAGGCTGTGCCCAGCTGGACACTGTGGCCCTGGCTGCAAAACATCCCTCTGTGTTTCTAGGGCCAGGGGGACGGTGCCTGTGTGGCCCAATATCAGCAGGCTCTGGCCGAGTGTGAACGTGCTGGGAAGGGCCTGGGGCCTGCACCGGCTGCCTCTGCACAGCCCCCAGCTGCCCAGCCGGCCATCTGCTCAGCCACCTGGGGGCGACGGCAGTCCCAGGGCCCTCCCAGGCCTCTGCCCTGTTCTTTCCTCACAGGAGTGCCACAGGTCTCATGAGGTGCTCACTCGCCCCACAGGGTGACTTCGGGGTGGCTAAGGAGGGCCTCTCAGAGTACTGTAGAGGCAAAGTGGCCTGGGGTGGAGAGCTGGGGATGGGGTCCTGCATCCTGCTGTCTGTGCCAGGTGCCCAGCAGGTACCTGGGATGCTCAGTGGGGAGAGGTCTTCATGGAGACTGGTGACCCCTGTAATGACAACAACAGGTCACAGGTGGACAGCGGGCAGTGTCCTCAACCCCACCGGGGTGCTGAGGCCACGTGGTGAGCTGCGAGTGGCCTCAAGGTGGCGCCTGGGGCACCCTGGATAGCCTGGTGTCCCCCTGCCACCGTCTACCTCCCAAGAAGGCACCTCCCTTCTTGGCCTGGGGACCCCACGCTCCCGAAGCACCCACATCTTTCCCCAGACCATGCCCTTTGAGAAGGCTCACTGGTCTCTCAGAGTGCCCCTCCCGAAACCTTCCTCACCCCTCCCGGTGTCCTTACTGTGTGGCCCCCATGGGGGCCTCTCAGAGGGAGAGGGGGTACCCTGGGTCCACAGCCCTGGCGAGTCTCCCACTCATGGGTCAGACAGGCCAACAGGAGCCAAGCACCCTGCACATGGGTGTCTGGGGTTGGGGTGGGCCTGGGGTCTGTGCGGAGTCTGATGTCCTTGAGAGAGGGGCCCAGTCTGCATCAGGCCGGGGCCCTGGCCAGAAGCTGGAACTCCCGGCCACATGGGCAGAAAGTGTGGCCAGCCGGAGCGTGTTGCTGGGGGGCTGTGGCCCCGTTGCCAGGCACTGTGACTCCCTGGACGCTGGTTGCCATGGAAGCCGCTTCTTACCCGTGTTGCCATGACGCCCAGATAGCCTTGAGGAGCCTGGAGCAGTGGGGAAGGGCTGCCCCTGCCTTCTCCCCCTCCTACCCAGGGGTCAGGGCTTGGGGGTAAGGAGACGGGACCCTCCTGCCAGCACCAGGCTGGGGGCTAAGGGCGGGGGCCGACGGCGCACTTCTCCTGTCCTCGCTGAGCATTGATTGTCAACGCCCCAGCTCATCTCAAAGCCTGAAAACAGGCCTGCACAGATGGGACTTTGGGTCACTGGGCCAGCCATAGCCCTCGGGGGACCTCCTGTCTCTGTCCCCTAACCTGGGCTTCTGGGCCACACCCACCAGGCTGGCCATCAGGGGGCTGCTCCCTCTCCAGCCCTCAGTGCTGCCACCATGGAGAGCCAGGGGTCCTAGCAGACTCTGGAGAAATGTCCCTTGCCCTGCGGGCTTCCCTGGAGTAGCCCTGGGCTTGGTGCTGCCTGCTTCCTTGACCTCCTGCAGCCTGGGCATGGCCCAGGCCATGAGCTCCTTTGTAGCACCTGGGTATGAGGTGCATGGCAGTCTTTGGCCACGCCCTGTGAGGCTCCAAGGGTGATCTTGGGCCACCCAGGTGCCCCTAGACTCACGGCCAAGAGGCTGAGTCCACTGGAGGCCATGTGAGGGGTA